TCAATTATGTCAACTCTATAATGTGTAATTGTTTCCATTCTATAAAAAAAATTTCTATTCACTTATACATTTTCAATTTCATTATTATGAATTCTCTAATCAAAGAATATATTTTATAACACAAACAAAATAAAAACAATAAAGATGTTAAATCTTGTCTTTGTCACAAAGTGCATGTGAGAGCATTCATTGAGAGACTGAGCCATTGGAACATCTCCCAAGTGATGTTAGATTCAAGCGTACTAAAAACAAAAATGTTTTTGACACGTTTATCCAGTAAAGTGGTAAAGTAACATTCATTGAGATATGAGATTATTAAAGCATCTACCAATGTTAGAGCATTCAATAAAAGACTGAGTCTTTGTCACGCTTACCCAATAAAACTAACAAGTCAAGTCCTATCAAATTCATAGTAAAGTCTAATCAAAATTGAATTGTTTAATGAGAAATTTCCAAACAGAGTTAGTACGTTTGTGATGGCTGATAATTCAATATTATAAAAGGATGGTGGTAGTATGTTTAAAACTTGTGAAGTTGTTTAGTAAAAGAAGTACAAACGTTTTTTCTTGAGAAGATGAATGCTTTCAATTCATTTAATGGTGATGTAGATTTTAAAGATAGAAGGTTTTCCTTTGTAGTTTTCCAAATGAGATTATTATATGCCATATTGGCCGATCATTAGATGGAAGTTTTCCCTTTGTAATTACTACCATTTTCACCGTAACAATATATTTTTGATCCATTCTGATGATCGTATAGGATTAATGTTATCTTCTATTTATCCTATCTTCATATCTTGTTATTTTTAATTAAAAATTTTTAACTATTAATTATTAATATTTTATCATCTTTTTAATTTTTTTGTTAATTAATTAATTTAAATTTTATCAATAAAAATAATTTTAAATTATAAAAAAACATTTACTCCAAATTTTCTTTCTTTTATAATGATTTATTATTGAATTATTTAAAAATATTAACGAATGTGTGCATGAATTAGAAAATAATTTAATTTCTACATAAATGTCGAAATCACTATTTGATATATTAAGAGGTATCAAGCTTTTTAATTCCGTTTATTTAAATTCAATTGGGACAAACATAGAACATTAGTGATTAATAATATTAAAAATTAGGGTGTTGCTCCCTCCACCTCCACAGCCTTCTCCCTCCACCTTCTCCCTCCACTTTCCCAATTATCTTTAATTTCAATTATATCCTTAAAGTTAAAATTTTTTATTTTTATTATTTTAATATTTTAATATTTTAATATTTTAATATTTAAATATAAACTAATATAAATATACATTATTAAAATACATTAAAAAGATATTCAAAAATAATAAATCAAAATATTAAAATATCTAATAAAATAATAATAGAAACATAAAATTAAAATAAAGCTTAAACGGATGACATCCTTCAACGGATGTCAACATCCGTTTAAGGCGAAACGGATCCGTTTCGCCTTAAACGGATGTTGACATCCGTTGAAGGATGTCATCCGTTTAGGCTTCGTTTTCATTTTACGTTTTAGGGTTAAAAGATTATTGGAAGGATTATTGGAAGGGTTTAGGGTTTAGGGTTTAGGATTATTGGAAGGATTATGACTACGTACCTGGAGAGGAACCACGACAAGCACATTACACCACAAACGCACTGCACCACGTACTGCACCGAAAGCAAGAGGAAGATTGCTTGATAATTCTTTTCACGATCACTGAGCTTTGCAGAAAAATATTTTACTCATACAAGGAACTACGTAGGTTATCAGTGAAATATGTTATAAATGAGTAAAATTAAAAAACAATAATTATAAAAATAAAATTTTACTGAGGGACAAAATAGTAAAGAGGAGGTGGAGGGAGAAGGCTGTGGTGGTGGAGGGAGCAACACGCTAAAAATTATAATAGTTTGGAAGAGGAGGAATGGGCCACTGTGCTGGCCCAAGACTGGTATCAGTTCTCTACAAAAAATATATGACTCTATATAGTTTCATGAGCATAAAAGAAAATTGGAAACTAAGGTAAAACCCTAACTACCTTCTCCAACGAGCCATTTACGTCGCTTCTCGAAGACACAAAACATAGGGTTTGTTGTGTTGTCGTGAAATATGGAGGGTGCTCGACGGCTACAGGGGCAGTCTATAGGAGTTTTCAATGAAGGAATTGGATTACTCCTTTTTCGTTGGTCGGCTCTTCGAGCTGCTGTCGAGAACGAATGGGGTGGCCGTGAGTCCCGCGTCAAAGCTGATCAACTTGTCGCCGATGTTCTCTCGTGGTTCACTCAATCCAAAGGTATATCAATTGACGCAACATAGGACAATTCAATTGTGTGGATCGAAAACTCTGTTTTCATTTTTGTTTTTTATATTGTGCCGGTTGATGTGTTCCAGAGCCACTTTACATTGATGACTTAGAAGACATACTGGATCAAGGTATGCTTTCTCTCAATGTGGAGGTCGAAGATGGCAGCGTTGAAGAGGTATACATTTTTTTTTTTAATTTGTTTGTTCTGTTAACCACTTGTTCTTATGTTTTTTATGATTACATAGGTGGCTGAAAAATTAATGGTTATGCATGAAGAATTCTTGGATGGAAATTTTAGTTCTTTCGAAAATCTCAGGAAAGCCAATGTCGAGCATCGTCCTCACACAACACAGGTACATTAGACACAGCATATGCATAATCAAATTTTATTATTTTTTTAATATCATAATTACAGGGTTCTATGATGGTTTATTTTGGGTATTTCAATTTCTATATGATGGGTATTATTCACAAACATCTAGTCATAACTGTTGTGTGCCTCAATGCAAAATGTCATCTAGTGCATCTATTCTTACCTATCTAACTACCTTTCAATTTCAAGTCTTGAAAACCTTGCTATAGTTACTGGAGCAGCCCCTAATTTTTTGTATTTATAGAGGCAGTTCTTGTATTTTTGTTTCATTCCTTTTTTTTCTTGCCTAATGACTTAGAAGTTTGAATAATGGGAAGTATTCAAAGAACGGAAATATGTCATGAATAATTATTATATTAGTCTATATTTGAAATATTTTGAAGTGTTAAATCTTGTGAAAATTGTGATTTTCTTTTAATCCCACAATTTTCTTCCCACCTTATAACCAGTTCCTAACCTCCTTTTTTAAGCTCCTCCTAAATAAATGTGAAGAGCTTTTTTATTGATCTCCCAAGGTGGACTGGGACTAGATTATGGAATTTTCAATTTGTTACATATGTTTACAGAGCATGTTTTTACTTGATTTGTACATATTTCTCCTTATATAGCCAAGAGGAAGATAAGACAATTGTTTCCTGGCTGTACATGAACTTCCACTTTCGTTGAATTTGAACGCAGTAATAATGTTAGACCTTTTTTTATGTTTTAGATTGTAAATGATGGAGAAGATGATAGTGAGGAAGATGGTGATGATGAAACCATGATTGTGGATGGTAACTCTTCAAGCAATACAGAGATTCTCAGATATTCAAACAATAATTCAGTTAATGAGCCCCGGACGAATGTTTCAGGCGAAGTAGATGATGGATGGGTTGTAGTTTCAAACAGAAGAAATAAGGGTAGAAAAAATTAGATAAAAGAATATTTAATTTTTTCTTTTCAAATTTTGTTTCAAGCATGGTAGTAGTCCTTGTACTTTTTGAGGTTTTGCAACATCTTGAGGTGTGTATTGTGTATCGGTTTTTTTTTGTACTCATTGAAAGTTGCATCATATCTTGCAGTTGGGTGATCCATTTATTCAGCGAAGTTGCCTCATTAACATATACTGAACAAGAGTATAAATGGTTATCACACAGTATAGAAGAATTGACAACGAATAACACTGTATGAGAGGTTAAGTTGTAGAGAAAAAAATATTATCATTATTTAATTTTCAATGGAGAATAAATATTTATCTCTTTATTTACAAAACCTTCCTCAAGAACTAGAGCAAGCACCAGCCCTCCTCATAAAAGATGAAAAACCCTTCCTTGTTAAAGTAATGGGGAATATGAGTTCAAATATTATAACTGTCACTGGTATGAAAGGAAATTTTGAAATGAATAATTAAAAGGACTAAAGTGCACTCTCACTTAAATGGATTTTATGTATTAATAATTGTTTGGTATTAAGAAAAATTAAGTTTAAAGGTTAATTTTAAAAAAATTCCAATCACTTATTAATTTAAAATATATGATTACTTCTGTAATTGATTTTGATTATAATATTATTATACAACCTATATTAGATGCATAATCAAATTTTCACAGCAACTAATGGTTTGCTTATTATTGTTAGGCCAAGGCACCACACATCACACTCACACTACACACACATAATGCCAAGACAACATATATACATACGAAGAGATTAAGGAGAGAAAACAAGAGGTAATTTTCTCATCAGCAATAAGGTTTATAAGCTGTCCTCGATGATAGTTAAGAAAACAGAAACAGTTATTAAAAGTTTGATTATTTACAACAATTATAATAACTTTTTTATATATAATTATCTTAATAATAATTCATAATTAGCTGGTTAAATTTAATCAATTAAAATTATTTAGAGTTATATTTTTGTTTTTATAACTGGACACTCGCCCTTCACTTCTTTCTCTGACCTATCTTATTTATTTCTCTTAGAATTCCTTTTAAAAACTACATACTTTTTTCACGGATCTACGCAAACTAATTTATGTAAAATAAAAATTGCATTATAAAACTAAAATCGTAATTTTAAATATGAGAATTTAGGTTAGTGTATGTAAGTCAAACTAATTACTGTATACCAAAAAACCATAAAAATGGACCAAAAATCAGACTAGTTTCTTAAAAGAGTATTCAAATAAATAAATAAATAAATAAAACATTATATTGAAGGAACTGTGAATAGTAAAAAGGGTGTGAATAGCAGTCCCCTTTATTTGACGTAACTAATGGGTCGAAAGCCCATCTACAGAAACCAAGTTTTACTCCAAACAAAATTAACATGGCGGAAACAAATTTTCAATTTTTAATCTACTAACTTTCAGTTTCAACGGCTAGTTTTTTCATTTCGAAAACGAAAGATCTCTCTCCAATTCCTTTCTGGTTTGGTTTTTATCTCACACGAAAAGCAGTTAGTGCACAGTAACGGTAACTTGCTATTGGTGTCTCTCTTTCTCTCCATTTCCATTTCACCATCTTCACTCCAACGCTGCACTTTCTTCTACACCTCAATCAAGCCAGGTCAGTTTCTGGGTTACGTACCATTCATCTTGAAACTGTTCCACTTAAAGACTGGGAAATCCTGAGAATTTTCTTTATGATTTTGAACTCCTTTGCCCGAAACCAGTGATTGCAAGTAACTTTTCATTTAAAAAAATGTACTAAATCAGATTATTTGCTAAGGTTAGCGGGGTACGAGGTTTGATTTTATGAAATGTACTGAAGTCTGTATGTCAATAATTTTCTGGCATTTTACTCCTTTTATATGGTAAATTGAACCATTTAGCCTTTGTGTAAGTAGTGCAATGTCTCTCAGTTAATGCTTGAATAATGTTACTTTTTTAAATTTCTGATTGTTTGGGAAATGCTTTTACAAAGAGGAGTGTCTCTTAGAGACCTGAAGTTAGATATTGTTCCAAATATGATTTTGATCATGATCCATAGTTATCCTAGGAATACTCCTAAATGCAATTTTAGGAAACTTTATCTAGATATGGTTCTTTTTGAAGTTCATTCGGCGAATTCTTTTGTTAAAACGCATTTTTTTTGAAGTTAATTTAAACATCTACAATTTAAATGAAATGTCAAGTTTGCGTTTTTACTTTAATCAATACCTCTTTTCTTTTCGTGGTTTTGGTGGGAACAAGAACACTTGATTTAATATGAACAGTGCTTGCAGACCAGGTTTGTCTTGAATGTCTTAAATGTGAAAAGAAATGGGCAAGGTTTACGAAGAGCTCGATGACGCAAAAGCAGAAATAGAGGAACTGAAGGCAGAACTTAGAGCTAAGACAGATTTACTTGAGAACTTGAAGAAATCCCATAATGCACAGATCAAACAGATACAGGAAGCAAAGTTCAAAGCTGAGAAGCTGGACCAAAAACTGCTTCAACAGGAAGATGAAATCTCTGAGGCAAAGCTAGAATGTGAAGATCTCAAAGGGAATTTGAATAGAAAGGAGACAATAATCAAACATCTCAGTGCTACAAATGATAAACTTCGAGCGGATTGTGATGACAAGTTGAAAAAGTTGGATGAAGAAAAAAGAGGGTTGCTGTTGGCCTTAGAGGAGGAAAATGAGAAGACACAGAACCAGGAACAACAGATTTATATGTGCAAACAAGATATTGAAAGACTGAAAGGTTGTCTTTTGGTTTCAAAGGACAAGTCTTTGGAATCAGAGAAAAAAAACAGAGTATCCAAAGAACTAAGAGAAAGAGATGACATGCTCCAGAAATTAGAGGAGGAAAGCAGGAAGGTGGAAGATCAATTAAAATGGAAGAAAGAACAGTTTAAGCATCTAGAAGAAGCACATGATAGACTTCGTCAGCAGTTTAAGTCTTGCAAGAAGGAGTGGGAGATGGAACAATCTACATTGATAGATGAGATTTCTTCACTTCAGACAAGGTTAGACTCTCAGACCAGAATATCAGAGGATTTACAACACCAGATACACTCTTGCCACCAAGCTCTTGCTCATGTAGAAAGCCAGAAAAAGCGGCTGGAAGTCGAAGTTTCTAATCTTAAGGTGGAGCTTGACGATGCTAGCAATAAGTACCTGGGTTCTAGGTTACAGCTAGATTGCTTAAACACTGACCGTGACGAAGATATTGCAGATTTGAGATATTTGCTAAAAACAAAAGAGGCGTATAATAAAGAGTCAAAATACAGAATTGATAAGCTAGAGCAAGAAAATCAAGAGCTGCGAATGTCTCTGAAAGAACTCCAGGAAGCTCAAATTCAAGAGGCAGGAGCTTCATATTCGCATTCAAAGTTGCGGTCCAGGCTCAGAAGTTTGGAACAAACTCATAGAGAGTGTTCCTCTTCTTTAAAGGCTAAAGAAGCTGAGTGGAACTTAAAGCTAAAACAGTTGACAGCAGACCTAAATACATGTCAATCTGAGTTGGAAACTAAAATTGAAGCAGTTGAAGGCCTCCAGATGGAACTAGAAAGGTCTCATTCTTTATCCATTGAGATGAAGTTATTGAATGAGGAGATGTCTGTGATGCTGTTAGTGTTGAAACAGGGAATTTCTGAGGCTCATTTGAAGCATGTTAGTGATAAGGATGAGATGGACCTCATCAACAAAGCGAGAGAAGAGGAGATTTTTCAACTGATGAAACAGTTGGAGATGAAAGACGCTGCTTTGATGAGTGCCCAGAAAAGCCTAAATGAAGAACGTGAGATAGCAGCATGTTTTAGAGAGGGTGAGTGTAATGCATTCAACAATGAACTACTGCAAAATGAGCTGGAGGAATCAACTATGAGTCAGCTGATTCTCAAAGAGAAGGTTTTGCATATGGAATGTAACTTTAAAGAACAGCTTAAAGAAATTCATGATGCTTTAGACAGTGTAATCCTTGAATTGGATGAGACAATATGTGAAAGAAATGAAGTGGAATTTGAATTGCAAATATGGAAGTCAATTGTTGAGCGCTTGAAGAATGAACTAGAAGAAAATCTTGTGGTGCGTAGAGAACTGGAAGCATCACTTCTTGTACAAGTAGACTTTGGCGAAAGCCTCAAGCAAGAGAAAGACAGCTTGGTTTATATGTTAGAAGAGAAAGAGAGGAGCCTAAATTATCAGCACCAACAAGTTGAGCTATTGGAACATGAACTAAGAGCGAGGGGAGAATCAGGAGAGTCCATTGAATCTGATAATGTCAGATATCTCCAGATGATAGCGGAAAAGGACAAGATTCTAGAAGAGCTCCAGAAAGAATTTGAAAAAACTTTGATTGAGAAAGGCACAATAGAAAGAACCTTTGAGGATGAGAAAAATAATGTTGTCCAGCTTATGAAAGGAAAAGACAAGAGAATGGATGAACTTATGCAGCAAGTGACTTCACTGGAGCAGCAGTTCACTGACTCGTTGACCACCTTTTCTTTACAGCTTTCTGAGAAACAGGCTGAAATTAATCTTGTCCGGGAAGCTTGTGACAAGATTACAGAGTCTCAGATTCTAGCTGCTCTTGAAATTGAAGAGAAGAAGTTGATGGTAGTGCAACTTGAGGATGACATTCGTGCTATACAGCAGAAACTGAAATTGCAGGAGGAAAACTGGACCCGATCAGAGCAACTTGCATTGGTTACTGAAGTAGAATTGCGTGCAAAACAAGCCAAAGTAATGGAGTTGAATGATGCTTTGCTTCAGAAACTCAAGATAGAGAATGGAAAGTTGCTTGAAAATGCTACGGGACTATCATCAGAAAGGGAAAGCTTGTCAGCTTTCATTCAGGGATTCAGTGACAAAATCAGTGCGTTCTCTGCTGAAGACACTCTATTAATGGACAGGTTGAGAAGCATGGTGCAGTCTTTTGAGAATGGTAGTCCAGTAATAGATTTGAAAACAGATGGTGGTTTCCATGTAAAGGAGAATATGTTTATTCAGTCTCCCACGAGGATGAAGAAACTTGAAGCCAACTCTGGTACTAGATCACCATTCAAGGAGCTAAATTTGTTAGAAGAGTAGGAATGTGTCCAGTCTTGTATTTTCAGCAAAAAAGGTCATCATGATCATTCTTTGCATGTGTCGTCAGTCTTGTATTTCCGACAAAAAGATCATGTAGTTACTTGACCATTCTTTGGATTGTATATGGCATTTATTTATTTGTATTTCATTCTTTGTTTACCTTTTTTTCCTCAATACTGATGTTTGTTACATAAGCATCTAGAAATTAAAATCAACAATATAAAAAAAAATGGATACTAAGGGGGAGAAACTCCATACCAATACTAAAGATATTAGCTGCAATTTATATTAGAAAAGAGTTTGTTGTATAATGGAGTTGGAGATCTAGAATATATATTATGATTGACTACTTGTATATTCAAAAAGTTAACTAGGATTATGTTTATATGAATTACTTCGTTCTTCTAATTTTATTTATTTTAGAGGCATTGGAGAAATTTACATAAATCACAGTATATGATTCGAACTATAGATCTATTCATATTTTGTACTTACATCTTCCAACACACAACTGTTCTCGGTCCCACTGGCATGTTATTACGATACGAAAGTAGTTGAGGAGTTGAGCTTCCCAACTGAACCGTTTTAAAATGTGTAACCAGACACACCTCATCCCACGTTAAATCTCCTCCTCGGTAATTACCTAATACATCCTTAAAATATTCCTCTTCGATCTCTGAATTTTGCACTCTTGTTTCTTCGTCTAGTCCTAGATCTCTCTTCATGGCTGGGTTTTTCTCTCTTCTAAGGCGCCTCTATCTCTCCCTTTACAATTGGACGGTTTTGTTTGGATGGTACACTTACTCACCCTTTCTGTTCATAACATTATGATTCATTCATCTCTTGCCCTTTCTCAAATATCTCTCTCTCTTAATTTGTTCAGGTGTCAAGTTCTGTATTTTGTTCTCAAGACGTTGAACGAATCGGGTCATGAGCATGTTTACGATGCAGCGGAAAAGCCTCTGCTTTTTGCACAAACAGCTGCTGTGTTAGAGGTAATTGTTCTAAAAGGGTTTTGATTTTTCTGAACTATGGACACACCCTTTTGATTTTTTCAAGCAATTTGTTCAAGTTTATTGTTGGAATTATCTTATCTCAAATTTTTTCTAACTTTTTATTTGGTGGACTTTCTATTGAATGGTGAGCTAGATTCTTCATGGTTTAGTTGGTGAGTAATCTGTTCTCAATGTGTGGGGTTATGTTTGATGAAAATGAAAATTGAAGTAGTTAGTTTGTTTATGAAATTCTGTGTTATTTTCCCTTGTGAAGGACTGGTGAGATCTCCCATAACATCGACGTTGCCACAGATAAGTTCAAGGCTGTTCCTGACTTGGGGCATTTTATGGAGTTTTCCTGAGGTGAAGAAAAAATTGGATTATTTTATTTTTTGTTGAACGCATTTAATTTGTTTGTTCAGTATTCAGTCATATTCTTCTAGTGAAAAGTTGCCCCATCTTTTATCCCCAGACTCGGTCTCATGTGCTTGTTACCTCCCTACTGATCAGCTGGTCCATCGCAGAGGCAAGTGTTTGTGATTGTTCTTTCATGTGATGTTCAAACTATTTGTTTGGATTTTTCTTCTTCTTGTTTGATGTTAGCTAGCCATAACATACTTCTACAGAATGGTTATAAGTTATAGAGCACTTCCTGCATGAAGATGACATTACTTCAAATAAATAAATGCCACCTCTGTTCTGACTTCAGTACCTTAAACTTTACGTGACTATTTTTATTTTTCTTTTCAGTTTTCTGCTTGTCATTTTCTTTAGACTTTCCATTTCATTTTCTACTTTCTTTTTTTTTTTTTTTTTTTTTNTCTGAATTTTGCACTCTTGTTTCTTCGTCTAGTCCTAGATCTCTCTTCATGGCTGGGTTTTTCTCTCTTCTAAGGCGCCTCTATCTCTCCCTTTACAATTGGACGGTTTTGTTTGGATGGTACACTTACTCACCCTTTCTGTTCATAACATTATGATTCATTCATCTCTTGCCCTTTCTCAAATATCTCTCTCTCTTAATTTGTTCAGGTGTCAAGTTCTGTATTTTGTTCTCAAGACGTTGAACGAATCGGGTCATGAGCATGTTTACGATGCAGCGGAAAAGCCTCTGCTTTTTGCACAAACAGCTGCTGTGTTAGAGGTAATTGTTCTAAAAGGGTTTTGATTTTTCTGAACTATGGACACACCCTTTTGATTTTTTCAAGCAATTTGTTCAAGTTTATTGTTGGAATTATCTTATCTCAAATTTTTTCTAACTTTTTATTTGGTGGACTTTCTATTGAATGGTGAGCTAGATTCTTCATGGTTTAGTTGGTGAGTAATCTGTTCTCAATGTGTGGGGTTATGTTTGATGAAAATGAAAATTGAAGTAGTTAGTTTGTTTATGAAATTCTGTGTTATTTTCCCTTGTGAAGGACTGGTGAGATCTCCCATAACATCGACGTTGCCACAGATAAGTTCAAGGCTGTTCCTGACTTGGGGCATTTTATGGAGTTTTCCTGAGGTGAAGAAAAAATTGGATTATTTTATTTTTTGTTGAACGCATTTAATTTGTTTGTTCAGTATTCAGTCATATTCTTCTAGTGAAAAGTTGCCCCATCTTTTATCCCCAGACTCGGTCTCATGTGCTTGTTACCTCCCTACTGATCAGCTGGTCCATCGCAGAGGCAAGTGTTTGTGATTGTTCTTTCATGTGATGTTCAAACTATTTGTTTGGATTTTTCTTCTTCTTGTTTGATGTTAGCTAGCCATAACATACTTCTACAGAATGGTTATAAGTTATAGAGCACTTCCTGCATGAAGATGACATTACTTCAAATAAATAAATGCCACCTCTGTTCTGACTTCAGTACCTTAAACTTTACGTGACTATTTTTATTTTTCTTTTCAGTTTTCTGCTTGTCATTTTCTTTAGACTTTCCATTTCATTTTCTATTTTCTTTTTTTTTTTTTTTTTTTTTGTGTTTTTTCCCTATTAATTTCACCATCATATTTATTACTATGTTCTTAATTTACTATAGCGTTTTCAGAGATGGCCGCTACACGTGAATCCAAGATTGATAACTATGGTTAAGATATAACAAGTGCATTAAGAGGATAGATATTGAACTGAGTATCCTGGATATTTTTTAACGTTTGTGAATGCATATATGTGTCTCACTCTCTGACTGAAATGGAGCTGTTGGTGGTCTCACCTTATTGAACTTTGGGAGTAAAATTATAGAAGCAAAAAACTCCTGTTTCAACTGTTACTTGAGCATGTCTGGCATAAAAATGCTAATGCTTACATTTGATGGCTAAAACTTGGAAGAACCTAATGGTATGAAATTTGAAGCGTTGACTGGGGTGACAGCAATTTTTTTTGGCTTGGTGACCTATTTTCTTCTGTAATTCGATTCCTCTGTTCGTTTCTGTAATGAAGTCATTGATTACAAAGGTAACAGAAGTATTAATGAAGATAAATTTATCTTCTTTGTTGTTGCAATTGTAGATCATTCGGTATTCTTTCTTTGGTGTCAAAGAGACTTTTGGATTTACTCCATCATGGCTTTTGTGGCTTAGGTACGAAGTTTGATTGCTAAGCCTTGGTCATGGAGTATAGCACTTGGCAAAACAATTTTTTCTCTTACATCAATTACAAATTATTTCTTTGCAGATACAGCAGCTTCCTGGTTTTGTATATAACAGGCATAAGCAGTGAGGTTGGTCTAATATACATCGCCTTACCGTTCATCAAGGTAAATAATTTGGTTGCCAATTGTCCACTTTAGAATCATTAGATCTAAAATGCAAGATATGTGTTATCTTTTTTGATCAGAAACATGTTCATAAATCATTTAACGAAGAATAAATCTTCTAAAAGAATGGAATAGATGAAGTTGAAAGCATTGTTTGGTTAATATTTGGAAACCTAGACATCTGTAATTTCGTAGCATTACAAGAATGGTAAAATGGAAATGGAGGAGAATAGTCTATTACTTATGATATAATATGGTGAAAATATTTGATAGTTTCTCAGTAAGTTGGAGTTTTGAGTTAATCTGACAAGTATTTTCAGGCTTCTGAGAAGTATTGCATAAGGATGCCAAACAAATGGAACTCATCATTTGATTACTTTTATGCCGCAATTGCTGCAATTGGAATCTACGTTCCAGGCATGAACAAAAGATCTTTTCACTGTTAATGATATAACCATAGGGTAATATTTATTTCGCTGACTGTATTTTAAGTGATCGATTTCGCATTAAATATATGCAGGTAGTCCTCACCTGTATAAATACATGCTTGCACAGAGGAAGAGAGCTCTCTCCAAATCTAAGAGAGAGTAATGCAATGTATGTGGTTTACATTGGTTTGGAGTCAAACATAGGACATACATATGTCATGTCTTGGTTTGAATCCACATACAGAGGCACCACGGAAACAATTGATTTTCTTGTTAATGTATCATTGAAAGGCAGCATGCCAGAGATAGATAAATTAATGTATTTGCTTTTCGGTAACATGGTGCAGTGTAGCTTACTATAGTTGTGTGTTTCTTAATCATATGCTATAGATGTTTAACATCAAGTAATAAATCTGTGAGGTTTTTTTAGGGGAGACATAAGGGAGATTTAGTAACGAATAAGTCCATACAAGAGTTTATGGATCATTTTACGTATTTAATATACCTTAAATTAAAGTTCTGAACATAATCCTCTTTAATTCAAGAGGGAACAACACACTTGTGCACTTTTGAGGCTTTCTTACTCTTAGAGGTGTGGGTGATATGCTCTCCACCACTGTATAGGATCATGAATGTTAGCATTAAACTTTCAGATGCATGATATATTTACACGGTTGTTGGGCTAAATTCCATGTTCCTACTGATATGATGCGAAGCAGTGTCACGTAATGAAACTCAAAATCGTAACTCGTTTAAAGAACATGTACCATATCTTAAAATTATTTCGAGCTTGGACTTTAATTAAAGGAAGTAGGAAGAATAATGCCATGAACACTTTTTTTTATCACTTTCTTTATTATTCTCTTTGTAATGGTTGAGCTTCGTTAGAATATTATTACAATTGGTGGATCTCACTTTTTAAATCAAGGGAGAGGAACTCATCAAAATTAGTGGTTTCAGATAAATTTTACCGATTGAAAATAAAAAATAAAAAGATTTATTTAGTATTTGGTTCATATCATCGTTAATTCGTTTTGATCTTTATATTCATTTTTATCTCAATTTTGAATATCTCTTTTTGTAAAAATAGTTAATGTAATTAATTTGTTAAATTGACGAGTGTTATTTGTTAAAATCTTGATCATGTTTTATTTTCAGATAATTTTGGTTTTAACACATGATACCTTTTAGATAAAAGATGTTTAACATGATATTAATTTAACATAAAATATTATATTACGTTTTTCTTAAAATAATAAATATTTAATTGAGTCTGTTTTTATTTTAAATAAAAACTCAATTAAATTAAAAGAAATATAAAAAATACAATAATTCAACTCCTTAAATATAAGTGTAAAATACTAATTAAACTAATACTAATCTTGCTTAAAATATTTGTATTCGACCAAGATTGATTCAATAAAATATTATCAAGTTTCTTAAATTGTTTAACTTCGTCAAACTATACACTAGAAAATATGGATATTCCAACATTTATGGTAGGTAGTCTTAATAGAATGTCCAACCTCTTAGATTTTATTGAAACTATTTAGAAAAGTTTATTAAGATGACGATTCAACTAACAAGAAATATTATTCTTGTCTCTTCTCTATATGATTTTCCATGTTTCAGGCAAGTTGAAGTAAATTATTTGAAGTTGTTTGGATCTCCACGACTTGTCTATATTCATAATTTCTTTAAAAATTGTCTAATGTAAAATGATTATCGTTGTTATCCTTTACATAAAAAAACTCTTTCTTTACATAAAAAAACTCTTTCTAATGTGTCTTTAAATATGTTTAGTTAGTTTAAATATATTTTAATAACTGTATTAATATATGTTTATAATTTGAGATAATTGTTTATCTATTTTACAATCTCTTATGTGGTAAGTAGTTAAAATTGGAATATAAAAATATACTATATTAATATTAAAGATATAATAATACTATATTAATTTTACAACGTCTTATTTTATTATAATTTTATTATAATGAATTATAATAAGTTATTTTGTTATTTATTTTCTTTTTTAGAAAAATTGCGTTTGTTTTTAAAATTTTCAATTTTTTCTTTGATATAGGTTAGCATACACATACGTTTTTGTCAATTATATTGAACTAATATAAAGAAAGTTATTGTTTGAACTGATAAAAAATATAGGTTAATCTAAGTATTATTTTGAACTTGACGGCTCATAGTTCTCTAAAGTACGATATCATCACCTCACCTCTCTTTTTTTATTCACCAAAAATATTTAGAGTTATCTGAGAATAGAGATTAACTTTTGAATTTGGAATTCCTGAATCTGAAATTCCCTGTTTTAAGAAAATGATAGATTTTTTCCATTATACTAAAGTTGAGTATTGATTTTGATTTATGATTATTATAATTATAAATAATTAAGTTAAATTATAATTTAAATTTTTAATTTTTATAATCAAATAATTTTATTGTTATTAAAAAATTTTAAATGCTATTAATTTTATTACACAAAGAGATGATATTTACCAAAAATATTATATTATTTAAAATAAAAAAAAGGGTTAAATATGTTTTTAGTCCCTAAACTATTGGCCGTTTCTGGTTTTCGTCCTTCTTCCAAAGTAAGGTACAATTTGGTCCTCATTCTTTAGAAAAACGTTCGTTTTAGTCCTCAAAATTTTGTTTTTAGTCCTCGTTTTAGTCCTCAAAACGAACGTTTTTTCGACTAAAACGAACGTTTTTTAAAGATTGAGGACTAAATTGTACCTTACTTTGGAAGAGGGACGAAAACCAGAAACGGTCAATAGTTTAGGGACTAAAAACATATTTAACCCTAAAAAAAATTATAAGATGTTATTTTATTAAGTATCACAACTCAATTCAATATAATATTTAGTATATTATGTAATGAAATCATTAAATTTATTAAAATCATAAATCACAACTCAAATTTCACCACAAATAATATATCATGTTAATTAATAAATAGTATGTAAAATTTTGTTGGAACTCGTATCAGTTTTGAAAAGAGAGATAGAAACTACTTCCAATGAGAATATATGAAGTTATATAAATAAAAAAGAAAGAATTGAATTTTGAAAGAAAAAAGAAATGAAAATAGTGATTTGTAAATTTAGGGGGTAGGGACCTATCTGGGGAAATGGTAACCTTAAAAGATTTAGTCAAAAGGGGAGTAGTGTGAGAAGAAAGAGGTACCGTCTTTGAGCGCGAAAAAAGTGGATTGAATATCGAAACAAAGACAAAAAACAGTTATAGCATAAGGGAATACAATAGAACACAATCTCATATGCCACAACATCACACAGAGGGAGGGAGAAGGAAAAACAAAAAACATAATTGAGAGGAATGGCGCAGGTGCAACCTGAACAGAAGATCCATGACAACTCAGAAAAAGACACCCAAGAAACTGGCAACTCCAGCTTCAAATTCAATGCCCAAGCGCCCGAATTCGTGCCAAGATCGCAATCCCAGATGCCGATTTCGGGTTATTTCTATCCTTGTTTCCAGATTCTCGGTGGCTGTGGTGATTCTGATTGGTTCTTAGTTGGGGACCAGGATCCTTCTTGTTTGATCCCCACCGCCAGTGTTGCGCTTCCCAATTCCTCCAAGAATATCCTCACCCCCGATCTTCAGCAAAAGATCGTCAAACAGGTCTCCCGTCTAATCAAAATTCTTTTTTTCCTTCTACATTATTAAATCATCTTCACTTCCTTCCTTTTCATTTTACATTTATTCAGTAAGGTCATTCTTGTTACGTTCATGTTTTATTGTTGTCATTGTAAAAAAAATCAAATAACGAATGCCGTTTAGAAGATGTGGATAGTTTACGTTGCGAAATTGTGATTTTGATTATTTTTTTCGATCATGATATTCAAGCAATATATTTTGATTGAATTGATGTCTGTTTATCGGATAAAGGGATTCATTTAGTTTGATTCTTTGACGATGAAATTGATTATGAAGGTTGTTGTACTAATTTTGTTGTTGTGATACGTAATTGTTTCGTTGTTTAAAAAAATGTGTGTGTGTAATAGGTGGAATATCAGTTCAGTGACATGAGTTTGCTAGCAAATGAATCTTTCCAGAAACAGATGAATAAAGATCCTGAAGGATATGGTGAGGATTGTAGTATTCTCTTCTGTTTTCTTCCTCCCTCCTCCCGTTTGGGATTGGAATGACCTTATCTCACTGATGGACCTTGGTTTTCTGACAGTTCCAATAACCGTGATTGCGTCTACTAAAAAGGTTAAATCCCTCGTTAATAACATTCATATGCTTACTCAAGCTATCCGTTCATCTTCAAAACTTGTAAGTATTTTGGATTGAATGGGGCATTCTTGTTTGTCAATTAGTTTGGTTTTCTCTTTGATAATACGACTTTTGAAGGTTTTGAGCGCTGATGGCAAGAAGGTTAAACGCAAACATCCTTTCACTGATAAGGAAAAAGAAGACTTGCAGGTAAAGAAATTGTATCCATTTTTGGTTTTCTTTCTCCGCATGGTTAGTGTTAAAGTTTCTTGTCATTGTTGCATAGCGCATTTTTTGTTTCTTTTCTCTTGCAGTCTCGCACTGTTGTTGCAGAGAATTTACCTGACGATCATTCCCATCAGAATCTTCAAAAAATTTTTAGCACAGTTGGAAGGTGAATTTCTTCCATCCAAATCCAACTTCACATTCTTGAATTTTCTTACATTATGAAAACGTTCTAATTGATGGCTGGTCTATGAACAGCGTGAAAACGATTAGAATATGCCATCCTCAGGAGGCTAATACTTCTCGCCCAAAGTCTGATTTCTTCGTTAGTAACAAGGTACAGAAACGATGCCATACCATATGTCTATGTTGTTATCTTACGAATTCAAATGTTACATACGAGAATTTTTCACTCACGTTACTTGTGCCTCTCAATCAAGCTTCATGCACTTGTGGAGTATGACACATCAGATATAGCTGACAAAGCTGTGAGTAAATTCGCCTAGAACTTTTAGCTTTCGAGATGCACATGACTCAATCATTACACCCTTTTTCCTTTCTCACTTGATTAGGTTGAGAAGTTAAATGATGAAAGGAATTGGAGGAAAGGGATGCGAGTAAGGCTGCTCCTAAGGTGCTCGGTGTGTACTTCTCTACCTGATAGTAATGCCTTTTGTATCTACTGTGTCTATTGAACTTCGTAAGTTTATTTTTACTGGATTTTTTTCATCTAACTTTTGCAGCCCAAATCTGTTCTGAAGAGTAGAAAGTCTGAATTTGATGGATATCTAGAAGATGACGAGATTCTAAATTCTGAAAGTGCTGAAGATCCTTCTCACTCAAACAATGCTGAATTGTTCGATACAAATGTAAGTAACAATACATGTATATGTAGTCATTTCTTTCAAGTCTTCCAGTCAACTATATCTTACATGTCATATACGATATAAACCTACCACTTTCTTGCTATTCATATATGCATGAAAGTAAATTGTGCAAAACAGATTAAATGGAAGAATCACTGACCCCTTTCTTAGGAAAAGCACAAGCTTCTTTCATTTTCATGCATCCCACATTTCGATAGATGTCTTCCATATATTAATTCTGAAGACATGCCCTTTTCAACATAACTTAAATATAATTCAAGTACTTTTGGTCTTCTTCAATAAGAATTAAAATTTTACTCTGGTAACCTGCATAATAAAGATTTACATAAAAAAACTGTGTATAAATTCATCCATTAGAAAATGGCTGCATTGAGAATTTGGTTTGTTTTAAAGCAAGATGATGAGTGTTGTATTTGGTAAATTGGAAGGTTGATGAAAACTCGGTAGGATCTAAGAAAGGATGGGCTAGAGGACGTGGAAAGGGAAGAGGACGCACTCAAGGTCGTGGCCTGCTTGCTCCACCCTTTCAATCAAGCAGCACTGCTCTGTGTGATGCTCATACTAAGCCCAATACCAAGGGCCCAAGAATGCCAGATGGGACAAGAGGATTCACCATGGGACGTGGAAAGCCGATTAGTTCTTCTGCTCTAGTCGTCTCATCTCAAGACTGATGGGTATTTCTCAAGTTTTTCCCTTTCCTATATAGTCAACTTTAGGAGACTTCTCTGTATTTCTTCACCACAGAATTCATGGGCAGCAAAAGTGTTTTAGAAGACCCTATTATGTGGGCTACATGGGTAGTTCCAATTTTTTTAGATTTTACCACTTTAGTAATAATTCAAGATGTATATTGTTATATGGCATGGTCGTCCCTGGCCACAAAGATCCTAAATTTCTGCTTTCTTAGTTTTCAATTTAGTGAGAGGGGGTTTATTGCTTTTAATGTCAGAAATAAGTGCTTATTATTATTGTACACTAAAACGTTTTTGAGATTGAATAAGAGACTTAGGTGTCAAATTCTCCACTCCTTGTCTGACAGTATTTTCTCTAAGGTTAATTAAATTTTATTATCTATTCGTTTTGAACTTTCCAAATTAATGGTTGAAATGATGTTTTAACGAATCAATTTAAAGTTGAATATTTACGCAATTGTTTTTATAAATTTGAAGTATATTTGTGTTATTATTTATATTTATAAATAATTAGTGAAAAAGTATTCTTCAAGTCATCACTCTCGGTTGCTGCGCGGTTTCAGTTTACGAATTCCCACACAGATTTTTTTTAGTTATTGAACCTTTCAATTTTTGTCTATCACAAGCCTTCACTTCCCACTTCTTCTGATTCCTGTATAACTTTGTTTTCATATTGTTGTTCTCACACCTACATTGAAGTGGGAGCCAACACATACATACTTGCCAAGAGAAATTTTTGCCCGCTTTTTTTTATTTCCCAAGGAAACACATTTTTTAATCCCATTTGCAAAAGTATTGAAGGAAAACCTTCAATCTTCAAAATCTACATTGAATGAATTGAAAGCATTTAAACCAAACTGGAATTGAAGCTTCCTGAGACATATTTCAGTGACTAGACACAACGAAATGGAGTGTGTAATCTAGACACGAAGATGTTTTTAGTAATCACTAGTCACAAAGCTGGCTTGAAGGCTCTAGAGTCTTCTCCGGTGTTTACAACGCAGAAGAACGAGTTATAAATATGGAAACGGTGTTGGATGGTGGAATCAGTTTAGGGAGCTCAAGAAGGTTGGAGATAGGGCTATGACTCTACATTCGTGAAATGAAAACGCGGAAAGGAATTTGTATACAGGGAGGAGAAGATATGGATCGGTGGTGAAAATGATAATTGGAGAAAACAAATGAAGGAATGGAAAAATAATGTTTTGGTGGTGTACAGAAGAAACGGAAAATCAGAATGAAGGAACGAAAAGGTGGTCAACAAGAAATGAAAGCTTGCTACAGGAGGATCCTTGGATTCTCTAGCTTTTACTTTCAAGGAGGAATTGGGTTTTGGGGTGCTCCTTACAGAATCACAATTCTCATAAATTTCAAAACTGTATTTGCAATGGTGAAGTTAGGTATTTATACTAACTCATGCTTCGTGCAAGCTTAACTATTCTACTATACAATGAACATCCATTCTCAAGTGGCAAGACACGTGGAAGAGGCTGTCAGCACATGAAAGTAGCATTGGAAGGCAGATGGCTCGTTGAGCGAGGGGAGTAACCTGTTGGCCTTGAATCCAATCTGGAAGGCTTGCTAGGCCCTATTCCATCTAATTAGTTTTGTTTTAATCAATAAGATATATAGAAAGATATTTTTGGAAGAAGGTTTCCTCACATTTGGATTTTTACTTTTGATAGAATTAAGAAGTGTTTCGGATGTGTAGGGCTGTGCAGTTCCAAACCTCCACGACCTCCTGTCAATTTGTCCCGGTGGCTGATCTTCTGTCCTGATTCTCGATTCCTTCTCTCAATCCTGAGGGGTGGAGACCTGCAAAAGATTCTCCGATGACCAAGTCAGTTTTCGAGCATGGTTTCTCTCTCTAGAATAGCAATAAATATTGTGCATTCAATGTAACCTATCTATCCACTCATACCATGGCCCTCGTATTTATGTTTTTCGCTATGGGCTTGGGATTAGTGAAAAGTTAATGCACGGGCTCCAAAACGTGCCCCGATACTTCTAATTTCTAACTTACCTTTAAACCAGGCTACTTTTCGCTTAAGTCGACTGTTGAGTTAGGTGATTTGGGGGTGCGGTGGACGTTCGCCATTTAAGTGGGGGGGGGCGCTCTGGCCTCGCGCGGCACGGATCCGCCCATGTGAGATCCGTGCCCATGTGGGATCTTTGGTCCGCGGCGTCCGTGGTGTCCGCTGGCCGGCTCCGCGAAGATCGCCCTGTGGGATCGCGCCGCATTTGGCTTCTTCGTCGTAGCCGGCTCCGGCTTTGCTCGTCGTGTCCGCCCATTTGATATGGCGTGTCCGTCCTCGTCCGCATGGAGAACCCGCCCAATTATCTGTGGGCTGCCCGCTCAACGGATCCTTCCGTACGCGTCGCGGCCCTTGTAGATACACAAGCCCCCCAAGTCCTAGTGTCACGTAGTGAACGTAGGACTTTGGGTCACCTAACAGACAAGATTTGTATGCAGTGGCTGTCGTGCGGGCTGCTCTGTGATGGTAGGATTCCGTGATTCTCTCACAGTTTTCTTATAAAGAGTTCGACCCGGTTGGTAGGTGTTCCTCCCTCTGCTAGGCAATAGGGGTAGAGAGTTATACCGGGTCTAGGTTCAATCTTTGGCCGGCTCTTCAACGCATGAGCCCCCGGCTTGCCTTATACGATTGCGTACAGGCATTGTCATAAGTCGCCGTGGACTCCGGATTGGATTCCGGATTGGACTCCGGTGTATCTTTGGGTAGGCGGTCCTTGGACAACGGGACGGTCCTTCCGTACGGCGCCCGGCTTCCCGGGTCCCTTCGTACGGTCGTCCGGCCCCTGCGGATACACAAGCCCTCCAAGTCCTAGTGCACGTAGTGGACGTAGGATTTTGAGTTATGGGCGTGTGTTGGGCTAGGAATCCGCATTTGGGCTATATCCAGTGGGCTTTCAAATTTGGACTTTAGGCGGGAAAACACGTGGCGCGCTCCTTATTGACGGAAAGCGAATGGCGTCGCCGAATCTGGAGCGTTGGTCCGTGCCATATCTGGAACGCTGGGGCGTTGCCCAGTGGGCCTTTCAATTTGGACTTTTGGCGGGAAAACACGTGGCGCGCTCCTATTGACGGAAGGCGAAGCGTCGCCGAATCTGGAGCGTTGGTCGTGCCAGATCTAGACGGCTGGAGCGTGCCCAACGGTTATGAAATTTTTCCTATAAATAGCAGATTAGACGAGGTCATTTTCGCTTGTCTCCCTTGTTGAAGATTTTAAATTCTTTTTTCCCTCAGGTAATAAATGGCCTCCGTTTCTCTTGTGTCTGGTTCCGGGTCGTCGGGCGGAATCCCGGGAGGGGTCGGCGGGCGCGACGGCAAAGCGATTCTCTCAGCTCGTTCTCCTCTCATTTTGTGGACGAGGTCGGTTGGTGTCTTCTGGGGCGGACCTCGAGGCTACCGGTTTCACCGGACGATCGGATCTTCCATGGCGTCCCTCTATTCCATTCTGCTCAAGGGCGGTATATCGCGGTGTCGGTCCCCCATGAGCCGGACGGTGGTGGGACGGTGTGTCCGATGTTGGCTTCCTGTCGTCCTAGTCGGTTTCTTCGTGTTACGCTTCTCCGTCAAGGATTGGAATTGGAGGATCCGCCATACGCACTTGTCCGGGATGTAGAAGACTCGAGATTAATTCAGCTGGTGTGACCTTGTTTGAACGAGAGGGTTTTTCATGATGGACGGTCTTCTCCCTTTGACTTCTTTTTCATGTATGTCACCTTCTTCACCCATCTATTCATCCGGGTGCCTTTCACAAAGTTCCAAATGGCCATCCTTCGAGAAGTCAACGTGGCTCCTACACAACTGCATCCCAACTCTTGGGCGGCTGTACAGGCGTTCTTGGCTATGTGCCTAGCAGTGGGCGTCACTCCCACCATCCCGGTCTTCTTTTACTATTTCGAGGTTCGCCCTTCTCCTTCTGGCGGTTGGGTGTCCTTCATATCAGTCCGGGATAGGACCCTCTTCCGCCCCTTTCTCCGATTCTTTCAAAAATTATCAAGACTACATTCTTTCAATAATTGTGGATAAGCCGGCCTCCGCGAATTTTCCGATATTGAAGGAGGCCGTTGTTCCCATTTTATTGACCGAGCGATCCCTCGACGAATAAAGGCGACTTCTTTGGGGGCCTTGACAGCGCCCGATTTGGAGGCCGTGCGTACCATGTAACGACCTCCCCCCCTGCCGGATTTCCGCCCGCTGTTTGGTCGAATGCCTTAGTCTCGAGGATTGTGGACCAAAGGCTTGGTATGGTTCTTGTTATATGGGTTGTTTATTTTTTCAAGTATATACTGACTTAATTTTTCTGAATTGGGTCTTTTTTTCTTGCATGAACTTATGACTGACTCAGGGTTCCCCAAATCCAATTTCATACTGCCTCGAGAAGTCCGGGGCCTAAGCCTCGTCCGACCGCCCGTGCGACGTCCTCCCAAACGTCCCCCGTCCTCCTCCCCTGCCGGCGCGTTTTCTGGGCGAACCTCCACGCAACTCTGCGCGTCCCACCCCGAACGTAGAGACCCCCCCCCCCCCCCCCCCGTCATAAGACTGGGGGTCCAAGTGTCCAGGTACCGCCTCCCGACTGTCAACCGGAGGTGGCGGCCATCCAGGCGACTCCAGTATCTGAGGCAGCCACTGTTTCTGCCGATCCCTCAGCTCGCAAGAGAAAGGGGCACGCTGCGGAGGGACGCAAAGACAAGGAGGGGTCTTCGTCTCGGTCGGCCTCAAAAAAGGCTCGAAAGAGCAAAGACAAGGACCGTGGGAAGGCCCCTGCCGTCCCTCTTCCGGGTGGTATCTTCAGCCCAGAATTTAGCATGAGTGACCGGTCGAAGTTCCACATGAGTTCCTCCCAAAGGGATCTCATAGAGCCTCTCTCCGAGTTGGAATTGACCAACGCCATGCTGGAGATGTCTACTCGGACGTCCGCCCTGGCGTGGTACTGGGAAGTTCTGCTGATTCGTCCCCGGGGTGGCGGAGGTGCGGGCCGAGCTCGATAAAGAAAAGAATAACGGCGGCTCTCTTCAATTTACCTTGGAAGAGATGGTTCTCAACGAAGAGGAATACAACAAGAAGATCGATCGGCTAGAGGCCGACCTTGAGAAGGCAAAGAAAGAGGCCGCTGAGGATTTGGCAGCTGCCCGGGGCAAGCTTGAGAGCGCAGAGGAAGAAAATCGCCAGCTGCAGGCGGAAGTGGCCCGCCTAAAGGAGGTTGAAGCAGAGCGCGTTAAGGCGAACGAGGCTCTTTCCCAAGACCTTGCGAAAACTAAGGAGAAGGTCGTCGAACTGGAGTCGACCGTCATGTTCGA